CTATCCATGGCAGCTCCTGAGAGAGGGGCCCTGGGGCAGCCAAGGTCCTTGGTTGAAGAGCTCCAGCCAAGCTCGTCCCCCAGAGGCAGTGGTGGTTCACTGATAGAACTCTCCCCTCCGGTGTGAGAGACCTGAGTTCCATTCCTGGCCAATGCACCTCAGGAGTCGCCACCTCCTATCAGTCAGAGGAGGCTTGCATGTTTCTGTGACAGTGAACCCATTTCAGTGGCACTTCCAGACCAAGATGGACTGGGAAGGAAGGCCTGGCTACCTCCTTTCAAAAATCAGTCAATGAAAACCTTATGGATCCTGCTTTGCCATGAGACCAAAACTGGATGGTGTTTGGCTACCACTACCGAACCTTTTGATCAAAGATTCTATAGATAAAGCTTTGATCAAAAGGGGGAAAATGTGGAACAGAATTTTGAATTCTAAGGGAATCTAGACTTTCTGGAGTCGTGGAGGCTCGATGAACCCCCAAAGCTCTTGCCCTGAGATCATCTTTCAACCTTCAACCAAAAATATCCCTTAAAGTCTTCTTAAAACCCAATCAGTAGTTTGGCTTAACTAGTGAAGGAAGTCTGCCTTGAGGGTTTTGCTCTTTTAAGAATTATCTGTATGGGATCAAACTGACAACAGCAACCTGAAAGATTAGATAGAAAACTGTAGGGAAGTGAGTTTATGTCAATGGGGGAGGAACAGCTCAGAAAAGGAGGGTGAGAAATGGTTGCATAACTTAAAGAATGCAATCAGTATCACTGAATGTACGTGGAGAAATGGTTGAATAGGTGTCTGTTCGCTGTGTATATTTTCAACAACAACAACAAATAATAATAAAATAAATTAACCTATGGATCACGTGGTCTGATCCATAACCAATTGTGGGGATGTTTTGGACCGGGCAGTTTTGTTTCAACTTGACCGCAGGTAACAACAAAAACTGATTGCCCAGTTCTCTTCTTGTCCTAACTGACTAGATTCTAGAACAGAATATGAAAATCTAGAACCAAAAGCTCCTGAGCCCAACATCAAGGAATGAAGCCCCTGGTGTTGTACCCAACTCCCCACACACCTCTCAGAGCTGCTGCAGCCCATAGGGCAGCTTTGTGTGAGGGAGAAAATAGAACCACTTCCTCAAGGCCTTTGACTGCCACCTGCTGGACTATTGTGGTATTACAAATTTACGCTCCAGGCATGGTTCTTGGACAGTACCAAGCACGCACAGCCTTGCGCACTGGGTCGTGCAGACACCTTCCCCTTGCCAGGATGGGGACTCACAAGCCTTTTCTTTGTCCTTCCAGGAGCACCTGGAACAGGGGTCTGCTGGGAGGGATGGTCTGTACGATGCTGCCATCTGAGCTCACGTACCCAATGGCCCACTGTCCCAAGTGAGTACAGCTGGGGCGGAAGATGTAGCTGGAAGAAGAGGTAGGCGGGCTGGGGTCAGGGGGTGGTCATCACTGTCCCTTCACGGGCCTCCCAGCCCTCCACCCTGTTGGGTCTCCAAGTGTCTAAACTGTCATTCCTTTACAGACCCAATTCCCTATCCATTGGGCAATACAAAGAGATCTGGTGGTGCAGAGGTTAAAGCATTCAGCTGCTAATCACAAGGTCAGTGGTTCGAACCCACCAGCTGCTCTGTGGGAGAAAGATGGAGCAGTCTGCTTCCTTAATGATTGAAATCTTAGAAATCCCAGGGGACAGTTCTACTCTGTCCTATAGGGTCACTGTGAGACAGAATGGACTCTATGGGAGTGGGGCTTATTTTTTTTTTGCAACATAGTGCTTGACCCTCTTCCACCACTATAAAGGATATATCTGTTGTTCTCCCCTTCCTATAGCAGTAGCCCAGGTTTCTTTAGGGCACCTCTCTCTCCTTCACTGGGGTTTAGACAAGGCTGATTCCTACTTGGCCCATCAGCACATGTCAGTACCCTTGACCACAGTGATGGGAGTCTGCCCTGAGGATTTTGATGAGAGGATCAGGAACAAGGTACCCATTTCTATGGAGGAGGCTAAAGATATCAGGTGGGCCTTCCAAAGCCATTTTGACACCACAAGGAAACTGGGAATGAGGCCAACACAGGGGAAGCAGATAAAGGGTGAATAGGAACCAATTCCTGACTATCACTTGGGTACCTGGATCCAGCTATGCCTGAAACCCACACTGTATGGTCTTTTGGGTTCTGGGAATTAATTTATTTCCATGCCCCTCTCCCCCTTGTTAAGTCATTTTGAAGGGTATTAGCCAAGTGATAATACACTCACCTACCTGGGGACCCCGTAGCCTTGCAGGAACACAGGAATCTGATCACCTATTACCTTAATTCTGTTGGGTTTCAGGGACCTCAGTCCCTCAATGCTTAACTCTCTGGGGGACCCAACAGCTTAAAACTCCCAGTTTGAAACACTCAGGTGTCTGGTTTCCCAGTCTCCTATGCCACCAGAGAGGTGTCATATTACAAAGATGTGACTGACAGTGCAGTTTGGGCAGCACGGAGGATGTTATCAGAGCAAACCTCAACCCGGGACAGCATTCTCAGGACCTCTGCTAGAGGCCAGGCAGCCCGTTCGGTTGCTGGACTGTCCCCTGCCATCTCCCTGGAGGTCCAGGGAGAGAAAGAGGGGTCGCAGAGGCACCAGGCTTCCGGATCATCAACTCTCTGGAGTCCCAGAGACCTTGGCCTGGCCTTTTACTCCTCACATGCCCCCGAGAAAATCGGGGCTTTCACCACCCATAGGCCCAGGGCCCTGGCACAAAGCCCCCGGCAGCCTCACCCCTCTAAGCCTGGACCCTCTTACCTGCCTGGCTTGTCCCTGCAGGCCTGTAGGCGTGCGTGGACCTCGTCATAGGTGAGGAAGGCCATGTAGCCAGGGTGGTTGAGGGCCAGAAGCTCCCAGTTCGTGAGCAGTGTGGGCCATGGCTGGGGTGGGGAAGGGCGTGGTCAGGGCGGGCTTTGGGAAGCAGCCCAGACCTCTGGTGCCTCCAGGGTCCACGATGCCAGCCAGCTCACTCGCATCCGAAGAGGGGCTAGGAATGTCTCTTTACACAGAAGACTCTGGCCCCTCCTCCCCCAGGACCCAGGAGTCCAGACCCCTAATCTTTCCTCCCTCTGACCCAGGAGTCCAGGCCCCCAGCCCCCTCCTCCCTCAAACCCCAGCCCTGACGTTGTCTGACCTGGAAGAGCCTGGTGAAGATGTCAAACTCGAAGATGGACACATGACCACTGCAGGTGAGGTCGATGGTGGAGCGCAAGGCCAGGGCCGTGGAGCCTGACTCCATGGGGTGGCAGGTGCCCAAGAGGGACTCAAACTCTGCCCAGGGCAGCAGGCACCTGGTGAGGGGTAAAGATTAGGCAATCCACTTCCGTATTGATACCTCCTCTGAAGCCCAAGGAGGGGTCGCTATGAGTCAGATCTGACTTGACAGCAGTGTTTTTTTGTTTTTTTTTTAATGGGAGACTAGGACAGGAGGGTCTCTGGGAAGGAAGGGCTGAGGCCTGGACGCTTAGGTCTGAAGGACGAGGAAACTGGGGATCCAGGATCCTGGGTCCCTTCAGGGGGAGGAGGGGGCTCTGGGGGCTGAAGGCTCTGAGAGCGGGGCTCACTCACCTCACCCCGCAGCACTCCCTCCAGAAGGTGTGGGCTGGCGCCTTGGAGAGCTGGTACACATGTCCACAGTATTGACCCCCGGGGAAGAGCGCCCCAAGCTCTGCTAGCATGTGACTGAAGATAAGGGATAGCTTGGCCAGGTGGCACCTGTGAAGAGCGGCTCTCAGGACCTGGGCTGGATCTTGGGGCTCCCCCCAACTTCCGTCTACCCATGGGGCAGTCCCACAGGGACACGTGATCCCCTGCTCCCCAACAATCGGCCTATTCCAGTCCTGTCTGCCACCTCCCCTCTCTGGCCTTCACTGCCCTTATCTTTAAGAGGAGCATAGGTGATGGCCAAGATCCAAGATGTCACTGGCCGTCAAGGAGTTGCACCCCAACTCACGGCACCCCTGTGTGTTGCAGAGTAGAACTGGTCCACGGGTTTTCTTGGCTGTTATTTTTACAGACGCAGCACTCCTGAGTGGGTTTGAACCACTGACCATTACGTGAGCAGCCAAGCTCAAACCATTTAGAACATCTGAACGGTTCAATCGCTGTCAAGAAGTGGTGTGGGGCCTGAGAAAGTCGAGAACACTCTCTGTTCTAGAGCTCGCTCTGTGTTCCGGGCTCCTGTCCATCACTCATCAGCCACACCTCCAGAGTTCTATTGTCCCCCAGAGGGGGCAGCCTACAGACAAGCCCTGGGCCCTGAACTAGTTGCTTCTCAAGAACTACAGACCAAGGCCCTGGAGAGCCACAGAGGGGAGGCCGGTTCATGCCTCTCCAAAGAGAGCAGGGCCTGGGGGTCTCTGGTTCCTGACTCCTCCTAGAGGGGCAGTTTGAGTTTGGAACTTTGATTCCCAAAAGAGAGTCAGATAGGGTGTTGCGTGCTGCGGTGGGCAGGGATGGGCGGGACCCCTCAGGCAGGGGCCTTAATGGGGCTTCAAGATCACAGTCTCCAGGTGTGTGACTCCTCCCCTCTGCCGGGCGAGAAGCCACAGAGGGTCGCTAGGACAGCTGGGTAGACGCTGCTGGGGGACCAAGAAAGAAGGGCTGAATTTCCAAGGAAGGAAAATGCTGGGTAACCCCGTCTGCCAGGTTTTCTCAGGGAGGAGGGTCTGGGGTGCCTCTCTTCACTCCTGGGTCTGAAGGGGAGGGAGCTGGGGGCCTGGTTTCCTGGGTCTGAGGGGAGAGGGGGCCGAGACCTGACTCCAGCGTCTGCGAGGAGGGGGCTGGGCATCGGGACTCCAGGGTCTGCGGGAGGAGGGGCCTGGGGGCGTGGCCTGAGCCTCCTTCCGGCTCTTACCTAGGTCCCGGGGCCTGGTGTCACTCACCGGAGCCTGGAGCCCTCCCGGAAGAGCTCGTCCTCCGCCCCGGTTCGGCCCGGCGGAGATAGCAGCACAGCCACCTTCCTGCTTTTGGCCTCCAGGTTGGCCAGGTAGACGACGAGGAAGTCCCAGGAGCCGCCGGGCCCCTCAGGACCGCTGCTGCCTGCCACCTGCCGGGCCTTGGCCACCTGGCGCAGCAGCTGCGCTGTGCGGGGCAGCAGGTCCCGCAGAGACGGGGGACTCGAGGCTAGCCGGGGGTCCCCGCATTGCGCTTCCAGGCGTTCCAGCAGCTTCACCGCCCGGTCCAGCGCTCGCTGCTGCCCCGACTGCCGACTCCGAGGGGCAGCCGCCTTCGCCGCAGCCATGGTCACTCGGGTGCCCTGGAAGGGACGGGCGCGGCGGGGAAGGGCGCGGTCCAGGGTGAGGGCGGGCCGGGGCGGGCCGTGGAGAGCCGGAGAGGGCATCCTGGGACCTGTGTCTCCAGAGGGAGCAGAGGCGAGGGCTCGGGGCACCTGGGTCCCCCTAGAGGTGGGGCTTGGAATTCTGATTGCCAACAGAGAGCAGGATAAGGTGGCGCCTGTAGGTGGCGATAGGAGGGTGGGGACTGCAGGTGGGACGTCCAGGCCCGTTCAGCGAGGAGCAAAGGGCTAGCGCCGAGGTTGCAGTGGGGAGACGGGGGTGGGGTGGGGCGGGCACCTGGGACTTCTTTAGGGGTAGTGGGAGCTCTGATGACGTAGTGCCCAAAACACTTGACTGCTAACCAGAAGGCTGGCGGTTCAAACCCACCAGCCACTCCTTGGAAGACTGCGCAATCTACTTCTGTAGAGATACCACCTCGGAAAATCCACGAGGGGGCGCTATGAGTTGGAAACGACTCCATGGCAGTGAGGTTTTTTTTTTTTTTTTTTTTTTAAAGTAGGGCTGGGAACTTAACTCCTTCCGGGAGGCGGCGCTGGCACGTGGCACTCAGGATTAAGGGTCAGAGAGCAATGCTTGCCCTTTGGCCCCGAGAAGGAAAGAACAGCGTGACCAGATCCCTGGGTCTCTTAGGAGCAGTGCTTGGGAGGAAGAAGTCTGAGGTGGCAGGAATTTGGCGACAGGATTCCTAGGTCCCGTGGCGTAGCGCCTGAGGAAAATCAGGCTGGCGTTGAAATACCCGGATTTACCAAGGAGGCCGACTCCTGGGCCCCAAATGAGCAACGATGAAGACAGGGTTCAATAATGGGGCCATGGCTCAGTGGTATCACTGGGGGGAGGGCGCTCCGCCCACGAGGGGGTGGTTTGCCGGCTGGCCCCGCCCATGGGGTGGTGACACCGTAAGGTACCGCTCCGGATAACACCCACCCTATGACGCTACTGCCAGGGCTTGACCTGTGGGTGCCCGACATGCGAGGCGTGTTCTGCCGAACCTGCAGAACGTGTAGCATCAGGCCAGCCTGGGCTGCGCTTTAGGAAGCCGCCACCAGGAGGCGCTGTGGTCCGGAATATGCCTCCGCCCGGGGGCATCCAGGCCACGCCCCCATGCGGCCAAGGCAAGTCAAGTCAAGATCCAAAATAAGCACAAACTTAGAGAATTTAGAATCAGAGGCTAATAGTGGTCGCTAACATCTATCTAGCCCTCGCTGTATCAGGCTTTACAAACATTTTTTTTCCTCTGAATCATCAAAAATCCTTTGAGATAGAAACAGAGTTGGGAGGAGGTTTAGGATGAGAGCTGAGGGGTGGTGACCCCCCCGCTGCACCCCTGCCCATTCTCAGCCTCCACACGTCATTGCTTAAAAGAAAAAGAAAACCGTTGCCATCAAGTCCCACCCCTGGCGACCTCATTTGTGTCACTGTAGAACTGGGCTCTGGAGGGTTTTCAATGGCTGTAACCTTAGCTTAAGGAGCCTCGGTGGTCCAGTGGTTAAACCCTTGGCTGCTTATGAAAGGTGAGTGTTTCAACTCAGCAACCATCCCGAGGGAGAAAGATGTGGCTGTCCTATGAGTCAGAACTGACTCACACAAGAACAACAATCTTTTTTTATAAAAGAGGGGTCCTGGTGCACAAAGAATAGAGAGTTGGCCTACTGGCTGAAAGGCTGGTGGTTCAAACCAACCTGTTATGGATTGAATTGTGTCCCCCCCTCAAAAAAAAATATGTATTATAAATCCTAACCCCAGTAGTGGTTACAGCCCCATTTGGGACTGTGTTTCTTTGTTATGCTAATTAGGCAGGATTAGCATAGGGTGTGTCTTAAATCAATCTCTTGTGAGATATAAAAGAGATTAAATAAGGGAGCACGTGGAGAGGGGGAAAGACACATGCCACGCCACATGGAGATCACCAGGGGGACCAAGGAAAAGGGATCTTCCCCCAGAGCCGACAGAGGGAGAAAGGCTCCCCCTGGAGCTGGCGGCCTGAATTCAGACTTCCAGCCTCCGACACTGTGAGAAAAGAAATCTGTTTGTTAGAGCACCCCCTTGTGGTACTTGTTATAGCAGCACTAGAGAACTAAGACACTACCCAAAGGCACGTTGGAAGAAAGGCCAGATGACCAGCATCAGAAAGATCACCGCCAGGAAAGCCTTATGGAGCGTAGCCCCACTCTGACACACATCGGGTTGCCATGCATCCGAATGGACTGGATGGTAACTTTTTTTTTTTTTTTAAGCTGAAACAAATAGTTCCCAGGACAATGCTTCCTTCATGTCATGCAATGCGCTCCAGTATCTTTTATTTCATTCCATTTCATTAAAGGAAAAATTTTGTTTGTAACCCACTAAGTTGATTTCATAACCCACTAATGGATCTGGTTGGGCAATCTGAAACATCCTGTCCTGAGAAATTCTGAGGGAAGTGCTCAGGGATGTTAATTGCAGCCTTGTGGCAACCGAGAAGACTGGAAACAAGGCAAGAGTCTACCACCAGGAAGAGGGATACGTAAACTGTGGGGTGTTCTCACACACAACAGCTAAGATGAATGAACTGGACCCGCTGCAAAAAGGACGGGGAGGCGGCATCCTGTTCTCACCTCCTCCAACCTCACAAGGGGGAAACAGAGGCACCATCAGCAGCCCAAGGCTGGTTCCTATGAGACCAGACATGCCGCCAGCCTCCAGCCTTTTACCAGCTCTGATACCAGCCGCCCCTCCCACGGCACTCACTACTCCTCTGCTGGGTTTGATAATTCATTGCGATGGCCACGCAGAACTCGGACAATACTCACAGTTATGGGGTTTATTAAGGAAGTGATGGTACAATTCGCGTTCAGGAATGTGCTCAGGATACAGTTCTTGGATCAGGACGGTCTTCCCTCAGCTGTGCCCTCAGGCATGCATCTCTGGCCCTTGGCCTCTCGGCCTGGCCTCTGCCCTGCCTCTGGCAAGTGTTACAAGGCTCTGTTAGCTCTGCCGACAAGGACTCCTCGGTGTGCTCCCCTCAGCCAGCAAGCCTGCCCAAGGGCACTCAGCTTTCACACTCTGTGGGCCGGCAAGCCTGCCGCTCTGTTTTGCTCCTCTTGGTGCCACGTTGCCATCTCTCAGCCAGGCGTCTCTGCCTAGCATCTCCCAATGAGGTCCAGTGCAGGGGTCTCGGGTCTAAGGATGCGCTCTGCTCCACTCCACCTCCGGCTCTTCGCTCTTGATGGCAGTGAGATCTCCTTTCTGCCTCTTAGGAAGGCTCATTTTAAGCCCAGTAGAATGACAAAACTAACCAATCCGCACGTTAGTTCCATACACCTCATTTGCATGTTCCCACCCAGTTATCTGGTGGGAGTCAGAAAGACTGGCCAGAAAAGCTGTACCAAGTAATTCACTGTACCACATCCGCATGCCAATATACACGAACCTAAGAAACAATGATGAGTCAACGGACAGACAGACAGGTGCAAAGTGATGAGTGCAGCACAATATCATTTACACCAAAGTTTAAAACGACAGGAACACAAGTAACTGGGATGCAACAGCCATCTGTCTGCAAAGACACGTAGCTAAGATGCACGGTCAAGAGTTCTATAATTCAGGATTCTCGGGATCTAATTGATGGAGGAGGAGCCCTGGTGGGACAGTGGTCAAGCACTTAGCTGCAGACTGAAAGGGCAGAGTGGAACTGCCCCACCAGATGGTTTCCAAGGCTGTCAATCTTTATGGAAGTAAAGTCCAAACCCAGTCCACTGCCAATGAGTCAATTCTGACTCATAGTGCTCCTAGCAGACAGAGTAGAACTGCCCCAGAGGGTTTCCAAGGCTGTCAATCTTTACACAACCAGACTGCCTTGTTTTTCTCCCAAGGAGCAGCTGGTGGGTTCGAACCAGTGACCTTTTGGTTAGCAGCTCAATGTTTTAACCATCCTGCCACCAGAGCTCTTCTCCCACCCGCTAGGGTGGCTAGATAGCTATATAGACAATAACAAGTGTTGGCAAGGATGCGGAGAAATTGGAACCCTTGTACACTGCCAGTGGGAATGTAAAATGGTGCCCCTGCCTTTTTTTTTTTTTTAATTGTGATTTGGGTGAAACTTTACAGAGCAAATTGGCTTTCCGTTCAATGACTCATTATACATTTTGATCGGCGACACGGCTTGCAGTTCCCCCCAGTGTAACAGCTCTCTCCCCCCTTCCTCCCTGTGTCTGCCATTTCCTTTCCAGCCTTCTTCCCCATCCGTCAGTCCTGCCTTCTGAGCTTTGTCTCTGGGCACACGCTGCCCTGGAATGGTTGACTGGATGGGTTTGCACCTGGTGTTACTGTTCACCTTATAGGCCTGTGCACCTATCATTGGTCTGAAAGTTGAGGTGGTGGTGGTGGGGTAGGGGGTATGAGTTCATTTCCAGGGTGACTAAGGCCCATAGACTTGGGGGTTCCATCAGTCTCCATCAGACCAGTAAGCCTGTTTTTTTTTTTTTTCCCCATGATTTTGAGTTTTTCTTGTTTTTAATTTTTACTGTGATTTGGGTGAAAGTTTACAGAGCAAATCCATTTTCCATACAGCAATTCATACACATTTTGTTTTATGACATTGACTCCAATTCCCCACAATGTAACAGCTCTCTGCCCACTTCCTCCCTGTGGTTACCTCTTCCCTGTGTCCTTCTTTCCTATGCACTACTGCCCCCACCCTCTGAGCTGTCTCCCTGTGCAAACACTGCCCTTCTGTTCTCCCATGATTGATCACTCTGAGGAGTGTATCTACCTGATGTCAATGTTCACCCCACATGCCTGTCCATTGTTTGGCTGGAAGCCACAGGAGTGAGTTCAGTTCCAGACCTGAAGGGTAACTAGGGGCCATAGTCTCGGGGTCTCACCAGGCTCTATCAGACCAGTCAGCCTGGACTTTTTGTATGATTTTGAGTTTTGATTTTTTTGTATGATTTTGAGTTTTTCCACCCACTCTATCCAGGGTCTCCGCTGATCCCTTTCAGAGCCGCCAGCAGTGGGAGCCAGGCACCATCTAGTTCCTTCTGGTCTCAGGCTTGTGGATGTTGTG